TTCCCCTCCAACTACCCTAATACTGACAAAGGTCTCATGAGTTACAAATATCATCTTTCTATGCAGGAATGTAAACAGTTCGACCTTAATAAGTCTCTTATGATTTTCTCTTTCCTGTTTACCTCTTCATGTTGCACTCAAGTCTTGTATTTGAAAATCAAATTTTCTATTCAACTCTGGTCTTTTCATCAAGAATGCTTGAAAGAGCTCTTTTTCACTGAATGACCATTTTTCCCCTGAAGGATTATACTCAGTTTTGCTGGGTAGGTGATTCTTGGTTGTAATCCTATCTCCTTTGCCCTCCAGAATATTATATTCCATGCCCTGAAGTCCCTTAACGTAGAAGAAGCTAAATCTTATGTTATTTTGATTGTGTTTCCACAATACTTGAATTGTTTCTTTCTGGCTGCTTGTAATATTTTCTTCTTGACCTGGGAACTCTGGAATTTGGCTACGATATTCCTAGGAGTTTTCCTTTGGGGATCTCTTTCAGGAGGAGATCGGTAGATTCTTTCAATTTCTATTTTGCCCTCTGGTTCTAAAATATCAGGACAGTTTTCCCTGATAATTTCTTGAAAGATGATGTCTAGGCTCTTTTTTTGATCGTGGCTTTCAGATAGTCCAATAATTTTTAAATTCTCTCTCCTGGATCTATTTTCCAGGTCAGTTGTTTTTCCAATGAGATATTTCACATTGTTTTCTAATTTTTCATTCTTTTGGATTTGTTTTACAGTGTCTTGATTTCTCATAAAGTCACTAGCTTCCAATTGCTCTATTCTAATTTTTAAGGAAGTATTTTCTTCAGTAAGCTTTTGGACTTCCTTTTCCATTTGGCCAATTTTGCTTTTTAAGGCATTCTTCTCCTCATTGGCTTTTTGGACCTCTTTAGCCATTTGGGTTAGGCTATTTTTTAAGGTGTTATTTTCTTCAGTATTTTTTTGGGTCTCCTTTAGCAAGCTGTTGACTTGTTTTTCATGATTTTCTTGAATTACTCTCAGTTTTTCCTCTACTTCTCTTACTTGCTTCTCAAAATCCCTTTTGAGCTGTTCCAAGGCCTGGGACTGATTCATATTTTTCTTGGAGGCTTTGGATGTAGGAGCTTTGGCTTTGTTGTCCTCTTCTGGTTGCATGTTTTGATCTTCTTTGTCACCAAAGTAAGATAATATAGACTGACTCTTTTTGCACTGCTTACTCATGATCTCAGCCAATTACTTGAGTTTTAAACTCTTTGTTAAGGTAAAAGTATGCTTCCAATGTGAAGAGTGTACTGTCCCAAGCTTCGGGAGTTTGTACAGCTGTTTTCAGAGGTACTTCTAGGGACCTGTAAATTTTCAGTTCTTCCAAGGTGGTATGACAAGGGGTGAGGTGTTTTCTCTCCACCACAACAAGCTCCACCACACCAGTGTTCCTCCTCACCCCAGGACCACCCCTCAGAACTGTGACCCAGATCCAAGCACTGGTAAAGCAAGATATTCCTGCCTCAGCACTGGCAAAGAGATCCCTGCAATCCCCCTCTGATCAGCCACTAGATTCCCCCTCAGTCTATGGGCCGGAAGCTCAGGAAAAGCTGCGGCCCCAGGCCAAGCTCGAGACTTGAGGCTGAGACCTAGCTCCTCTCTCACCGCAGTCACAGACTTTTCCCACTGACCTTCTAAGTTGCCTTTGGTATTCCTGGGTTGAGAAGTCTGGAAACCACCACAGCGGCCTGCGATTCAGCCCTCTGAGGCCTGCTCCAGGGTCGCTGCGGCCTGCCCGCCCACGCCAAACTGCGCTCCTCACCCCGCCTGGCGGGATAAACCTTTCTGATCAACTATCCAGGCTGTCTTTGGCTGGAAATTGGTTTAACTCTGTCTTTTTGTGGGTTCTGCTGCCTTAGAATTCATTTAGAGCCATTTTTTTAGGTATTTGGAGGGCTTTGGGAGAGAGCTCAAAACAGCCACTGCTTTCCCTCCCTCTGTCTACAGCCATATCACCCTGACCATGCCCAATCTCATCTACTATGCCTCTTGATGCAACTTAGGAGCTCATTAGCTTCTGGGGCTGCCATAACACATTTTTGACTCATATTGTACTTGTGGTATACTAAAACTCTCAGATCTTTTTCAATCTCAAGATTTTTTTTTACTCATTCAGCAATTCTGCATGGCACTTATGATGAAGTCTTATAAAAAAACCTTCAATACATAGAATTTTAAATGATCCCTTGTGATTGGTCACATACTCCACCAGGGTCTCCAAAGGCTCCATAGCATAGGTGATTTTCGGCTGCTGAGTCAGTCACTGGAAGGAAAGGGGCCCACTTCCAACTTTCTTCTGTATTTTTGTCTTGAGTTTTTTTGTTTGCTCATTTTTCCAGGCTACTTCTTGACTTGAGAGCTTATGTTGGTATTGGACTCTGCTTTAGGGTAGAGGTAAAAGGTGGGGTGAAGGCAGAATGTCTGCCTGAGATTGTCTTTTATATCTTTCTACTGCTTTTGCGGCATAGACTGGGGGCCTGTAGGTTTTGGTGCTTCTGGAGTAGTGTGATCAGGGCAGAAGTCTGTTCCCTGCCTTCCTGGTCTGCATGTCTCTGACCTGGTTTGGATTTGCTGACTTGTGAGTGACTGAGTTCCTGTCACACTCAGACTGCTGGGATACTCTGCCATTTCAGAAGTGATTGAAATGCTGGCTCTACCTTGGTTTTAGTCTCCTATCCTAGTTTATTTCACTGCAGGCTTACATGTGGGCCTAGAGGTTAAAACTGAGTCTCTCCTTTGCTCTTGGGCAGACGCACAGCTATGTTCTGAAACTTGTTCCTAGCTCCTTACACAGGTAGGGAACCTGCTCCCCTGCAACTTGACTGCTCCTCTCTGCCCTGATCTATGAACTCTGCCCAGAACTGGGAAATGGGCAACAGAGCAGCCAGGTGGCACCCGTTGCTGCTCTCAATTCTAGTTCAGGGGTCCCCTGGGATCTTTCCTGCCAACGTGTTTAGTCCCCTTATTGTCCCTGAGCACTGGTCTGATGCCACAGCCACAGCCCATTTCTGCCTGCTGAGTTTACTGCTGCTGCATCTGTAGTCCTGGACAATCCCCACAGGCTGGAAAAATGATGCACTGTGACTTTTTTCTGGCTTTCTCATCCATATATGGTTTGGCACACTTTCTAGGTCATTATGAAAATTTGTTTGTTTGTTTTTTGGTGGGCTAAAGTTAAGGCAAAGTTGAGACCTCTCACTTTGCCATCTTGACTCTGCCTCCTCTAACTTTCGAACTGTTGCCCTCTGTCTTCCCTTCTCCTCAAACCTCATCCTAGAATGAATAAGCAAAGCATCTATTAAGCTCCTACTATGTGCAGAGCCCTGTGCTAAGCACCAGTAATACAAATAGAAAAGTTAAGACAATTTTTGCTCTCAAGGAACTCACATTCTAACAGGGGCAACAACATACAGGTTCCAGCAGAATGTCAGATGGAAAGGTCCCATTGTCCTTAGGGAGCAGCATCAAAGCAGATGGCAATGCCTCTTCTTTAATGTTATTTCCACTGATTAAATAATAATAATATTTGATGCTGAACCATTTGACGGTGTTAAGGACTTTGGTGGCAAGAATTTTTTTTAAGAAAAATCCTGGTAATGACCTTCTATGCCCAATCAACCTCAAAAATGATAATGTCACTAAAAAAGAATAAAGAAATTGGAAGGAATTTTGGATTTGGACATGTTGCATCTGAGGCAACAACCAAATAGAAATACTGAGTAGACAGCAACTGCTACACCAATGGTTACCACTAGGGATAGAGGAGTTTAGCAGGATGGAAAGAGTATTTAGGGAAAAAGTCAGGGGTTTCTGCTTTATTACTAACTTGCTATGTTACCTCCTTTGATTCGCAATCACCTCAGTACTACAGGTATTATTATATCCATTTTACAGATGAGGAAACTGAGGCTCAGAAAGTTTAAAGGACTTGCTTAGGGCCAGATAGCTCATGCCAGAGATGGAATTTGAGACTTGTTGGCCATAAATCTACCTATTCCACCATTCTTTCATGCCTGGGATACTTTCAGATGACATACCTTCTTTCACCACTCAGCTTGTATGTCACCTACTCAGGAAAGCTTTTTCCATGACTCCCTTTCCCTAACTGATTGTGTTAGTTCCCTCCTCCAATACTCCTACAGCAAGTACTTTGTTCTCTTCTTTCTGCCCCTTTGCTTTTTTATGAGATCACTCTTTTATTTCCTACTTTGTATTCTATTTATCTGTGCTCATGTAGTTCCCAGGAGGATATCAATCCCTTGAAGGTGGTAACTTTCATTTTTGTCCATGAATACCCAGCAGCTAGCACAGTACATTGCACATAGTAGGTGCTTTATAAATGCTTGCTTTATTTAAGCTAAAGTCCAATACTATCATTTAATTGATGAGTAAATTGAAATTTAAAAGGGTAAGGTGGCTTGCTTAATGTTACAAAGGTAATGAGTAACAGAACTAGTTTTTGCACAAAGTTCTACTAGATTTAAATTCCAGTGCCAAAAACTGCGTTGGGAGCAAAGAAGAATCCTAGCCCCATTTGTACTGATGAATTTCAATTTCAGCTGTTTTTGTTTTAATCTGAAACTGGTGTACTCAGGTTGGTAGTTCTTTGTTAGAAATGTGCAACTCAGAAGATATGAACCATCAATTTTGGGCTGGAATAGATGTTAGAAGCCATCTGATCACATCCCTTCTTTTTGCAAATGTGGAAAATAACTCCCCATTTGGAGTTAAGACCAGAATTCTGTCTCAACCATTTACTAGCTATGTGACCCTCAGCAAGTCATTTAACCCTTTTTTGCCTCAGTTTCCTCATTTATAAAATGAGCTGGAGAAGGAAATGGCAAACCACCCCAGTATCTTTGCCAAGAAAACTGCAAATGGAGTCAGACATAACTAAAATGACTGAAAATCTATAGATGAGGAAGGTAAAAGATGAACGGTGCTAGTCAATTGTCGTTTATTTTTCACACAAAAACAACTCACCTTAGCATCTGATATTTCACAGCACATCTCTTGGGCTACAAAGTTTGGGTTACAATAAACTTGAAGGCGATGAAGTTCAATCTATTGAAAAACATAAGATGACAAACAACATTATAGATTTCTTCTTGTTATTTTTATTTATAAACACTATATGTATGGAGGTTAAACATGCATAGAACATGTGAACATATCCAAAGTGAAAACTTGAAATTAAACCTGACTCCTTGGCAGCTCTTTTGACAGATTAAATGGGTTAATGCTAGGATATAACCATTTCCTAGGTCTTTAGGCATATTTGTCCTCATTAGAAGAAACCAAGTAATAATGTTATGAATTGACAAGACTATTGATATTTTCATATCAGAAAGGAAAAGGAATACCTAGTTGAGAAGTCAAAGAGAAGATGTACCAAAAATGAATAACTAGTCTATCAAAAATGGAGGTGAGGGAATACAAAAAAGCAAAGTCTATTTCGGAAAATGCTTAACTCCCTTTTACCAGAGCTCTTACTGGAGAATGATTAGCTCACAGATACTATTCAATCTGAATTCAGTAATAAATGAAATGTCTGCAAGTTTATATGTCCATATAAACTATGTTTAAGAATTATGAATCTTAACATTTTTGTGGTATCAGAGTTCTTTCATTTAAAAAAAATTTCAAGGCTGATTTAATCCCCAATCTGCATCCTCTAAAGGGATACTGATACTTTTGGCATGCCTTTAATTTTGTAGTAAGACACCTCTAGCTACTAAATTCTCTTATAATTATTATAGTTCATTGTACCATCTCTTACAGTTATTTGTTACTCAGTCTTTGCTCTTATTCACCTGATACCCCTGAGTTGGAAAACATTTTTCTGGGTAATGATATTTAAAACTTCTCCTTTTATATTTAATGTTATTTATTTTGAGAGGCGGTGTGTCATGGTAGATAGAAAGTTGGCCTTGAAGCCAGGAAGACCTGAATTCAAGTTCTGCCTCTAACACCTACTGACTGTGTGACCCTAGGCCAGTCACTTAACCTCAGTGCTGTTAGCAACTCTCTAAGACTATTAGTTGCAGACTAGATTCTAACCTGAGAAAGACTTTCTTCATCCAGGAATTCCCTGTCCTAATGAAATCACAGGTCTAATCCCCTTCCTTTTCCTAATTTTATTTTAAAACTCTCTCAAAAGTGCAGTTAGTTGCAGAAGGTATTTTTAATGGTCAGAATTGTGTATTTTGGAAATTAAGTATAATTGCTTTAAGAGTTGTGAATTATTTGTTGCTATTGAATCATTTCAGCCATGTCTGACTTTTTGTGATCCTTTTTAGGGTTTTCTTGGCAAAGATACTGGAGTGGTTTTCCATTTCCTTCTGCAGCTCATATTACAAATAAAGAAACTGAGGCAAACAGAGTTCACTGACTTGCCTAGGGTCATAGAGCTAGTAAGTGTCTGAGGCTAGATTTGAACTTGTCTTCTATCCACTACACACCACCTAGCTGCCCAAGAGCTGTGAGTTACCTCAACCAAATATTTTTACAGGTGACTTTGAAAGCATCCAAATTGTGATTAGGTGTTTTTTTTTTGGGGGGGGGCATTTTTTTTGCAATCCTACTCATGGAAATTTACCAATATCAAATCTAGATTGTAAATGTTTACTTCTTTAAAAAAAAATCTTCAAAGCCCAGTTTTATATTCTTTCTTCTCCAGATTATGTATTAATCATCTCAGCCTTAGAGATAAATGTAAAAGCATCTTCAGATTGGTAAAATTTTGTAAGCCTGAACTACTCTTCCCAAAGTCATAACGTCATTGATTTAGAGCTGGAAGAGGCCTTAGAAATCATCTAGTTCAATGCCTTCCTTTTATCATTGAGGAAACTAAAGCTTAGAGAGGTTAAACAACTTGCACTAAGTCACAAACGTACTCAATGGCAAGATTCAAATTCAGTTCCTCTGCTTGCAGTTCCAGTAGCACACTTTATATTGTGTGCTACACATCCACTACTTTTCCAAATTATACAGTTGATGGTAATGTTGCCTGAAGAACTGGAGCCCAAGAAAACACTATTAAACCAATAGCAGCTTATTTAATATAGTGCATAATGCAAAGCAACTGCTATTACGTAGCTGAATGTACAGAGCCTATTGTTCTTAAATAAGAATGTCAGATAATCTGGACTCATTTAAAGCTAAATCTGGAATCATTTAAAGCTCATGTTTCCCCAGCCCTTTGCATTTCAAAAAAGCAAGCTTTTAACATAATCATATTATGCATCATACTTTCACATTTTACCAGAGTTTAATTTTCTATAAAATTACTCTTTTTGACTGGAACCAATTTCTTTTAAACCTACTGTTTGCAGATAATTTGTCCAGCCTATATTATGTGTCAAAATATTATACCTATTTATATGAATATTATGAGAGCCAGCATAGCATGGTGAATAGAGGTTCTGGTCTTAGAATCAGGAGGACCTGCCTGGGTTCAAGACCTGATTTTGATACTTAACAACTGTGTGACTATGAACAAATCTCTCAACCTCCTAGGGCCCCCAACTACATTCTAAGACTTTAAGTTATAGATAAATTGCTGATCTTAATCAGTGGAGGATGTTCCAACATTGATGAAATCATGGGTCTAGTACCAGAGACAGACAGACAGAGAGAGAAAGAGGAGAGAGAGAGAGGGAGGGGGTGGCAGCAATCTGGATATGAATGTATCTGAACCTGTGATTTTCATTGGCATAAGACTCACAGTGAGGAAATTTCTTCTACCAATGGAGACTGACACCCACTAAGCAATTTGCAGTATTAAAGAGTTGTCTAGGTACCTGAGAAGATAAGTCACTTGTCCAGGGTCACAAAGCCAGTAGGAGTCAGAGGTAGGGATTTAAACCAAGTCTTCCCGATTCTGAAGCCAGTTTTCTAGCCTTTATACTAGATGTGTGTACATACAAACAAATATGTGCATAGGTACAGCTATCCCTTCCACATCATGACTTTTCTCATCATGGTTTCTATATATGACCGGTCAGCATAAGAAATTAAATGGGAATTTGGGAGTAGTTTTGCAGAAACTCAAAAAGGCAAATTGAAAAGGCCAGCAGATAACATAGATCCTATGACCAAATACTTAACCTAAATTTTATAATAAGTACTGCAAGCACCCCTTAAAAGAAAAAGAAAAAATTCAGACTTCTCCTTTGGTACAAAGGGAGGGCCAAAAAATTTTATGTGGATTTTCCAGATCGCAGGCATGCCACGCCCCAGTTCCCACAATGTGGAAGAGATAACTGTATACATATATACATTTCTGTGTGTATACATCCACATCTGCATGTATATACATATAATGCTACTATTAATGAGCTTACACAAGGTGATCTTCTTTACTTAATATTGGCACAATTGCCTTTGGAAGGATACATTAAAATAAGGATTCAAAGAAAAAGGATACTTTGCTTTAACATAGAAGCGTCATCCATTTGCTGTCCTGTCCACAACATTGCTACTTACATCTACAGGTTTGCCATCTGAAGCCCGGGCAGCAATGACAGTTCTGCCATGAAAGTCAATGGAGTCCTTTTCATCTGTCTGCCTTCTCTCAACTAAATTACAATCTACATAGAGGGAAAGGATCCTGGACTGCATGCTGAGGCCAAGCTTATGCCATTGCCGGTCAAATAGAGAGTAAATTTCTCGACTTCTAAAAACGTAGTGCAGCATTTCTCCCTGACGAAAGGCCATCACTTCCACCACCTTTTTTGTGCCATCAATTATTATAGATACCTGCAAAAATGTAAAATGTTTACATATCTTATTCCTTAGAAATATTTTGAAGATGCTTTTAAAAATGGAAAGTGTATCAAAGAAAACAAAAAGAAATGAAGGTGACATAAACATAGTGATGTCATTAAATTTAACATGCCTGTGGTATAAATGATATGTACTTAAAAAAAACTATGTGTAAAAGTTCACTGTTTCTAATGCAATCATTTTATTCTCTGTATATTTAAATTCTTTTATTAATGATTAAATTCATCACAAAAAGAATTTTTAAAAAATATTAAGGCTGCCACAGCAAGATGTGTACAAGCAATATCTTAAGAACTCAGTGAAAGACCAAATATATGAATCATTTTCTCACCAGGTCAATGCAAAACCACAACCATGTCTCTAGTATGTAATAAGTACTTAATAAATGCTTATTGACTGGATATCAAAAAGAGGAGGAAATAAGGTGTCCAAGTTAATTAAAATCCCATTAGCCAATAAAGTCTAGGTAACTATAGCTTCAGTTCAGATATTACAAACTTTCAAAGATTTTTTTATCTCATTTCCCACAACTACTGCTCCAAATCTTTGAACATACCACTAAGTTCATCTTCAACCCTAGCATTGACAACTGGATACACAGCCCCCTCAACTGGAAAAGTAGAGGTCTTTTGGGGGGGACATTTGGGGTTAAATGACTCGACCAGGGTCACATAACTAGTAAGTGTCAAGCGTCTGATCTGAGACTGGATTTGAACCCAGGTCCTCCTGACTCCAGGATTAGTGCTTTATCCACTCTACCACCAAGCTGCCCCTAAAAACTGAGGTCTTCTGATGAAAGCCTCCTCAGCCTCATTCTTAAAACCTTGTCAGCATTCTTGTCTTTTCTCCTCCAGTTAGGGAATCGGATCATTGGATCAAAGATTCAGAGCAAATAACTTTCAAGGTCATCTGGTCTAACATCCTCATTTTACAGGGGAGGGAACTGACCCTCAGAAATGTTAAGTGATTTGCCTGAGGTGATTCTGTGAACACCTGGCTCAGCCACTCTCTCCTATCTTTGATCATGCCCTGATAACTCACTCCTGTGTCCTTAATGTAAGATAAGCCCTCTCTCAAACTTGTTAGTCTGTCTGGCTACCATCCTATATTTCTCCTTCCACTTAAGCAAAAAGTCTTGAAAAAGTTGTGTGTCTGATGCCTCTACTTCCTCAGTACTTACTCCCTCCTCAATCCCTTACAGTTGAACTTCTGTCCATACCACTGTATTGAAGCTGTTCTCCCTGAAGTAACAGCCTCCCCATCACCAAATACAATGTGTATTCATCCTCCTTGGCCTCTCTGCAGCATTTTGAGGTATTGACAACCCCCTCTTATCAAATGTTTTCTCTTAATTTCAGAGAGAAATATACTCTCCTGGTTCAGTTCCAAACTCTTCAATTGCTTCTTCTCTGTCTTCTTCATTGGTTTCACATGCTCTTTCTTCCAGATTCCTTATTTTGGACATTTCCCCAAGAATCTGCTCCTTGTTCCTCTTCCCTTCTCTTCCTGTATAATCCTCAGTGCTTGGATGACCTCATTCACTATCATGATTTCAACTACCTCATCTACATGTGTGATTTCTAAGAATATATTTTTATTTCTGATTTTTCTTTTAAGGTCCAAACACAAATATTCAACTGCCTATAAGACATTTCCACCTGGATTTACCAGAGGTACCTCAAACTCAATGTGCCAAAACAAAACTTATCTTTTCTCTTAAACACATTTCTCTTTCTGACTCAACTATTTCTATCACTATTTACCTACTCTCCCATTTACACAACCTTAAAATTATCTTTGATTTTTTCATTCCCTTTAACTCAGCCACATGCAGTCAGAAACCAAGTCCTATCAATTCCATCAGATAGTGGAGTTTCATACACAATACTGTTTTTCCAGTCTTGAATTTAGGAAATGTTCACATTTGTTGATTTTTGTCAAATTCATTATAAAAACAAAAAGGACTTAAGAAGAATTCTGACCCTCAACCATTGTGTTAGCCATTTGATTAATTTTATTTTTTTCTTAAAATCATGGGAAGACTTTTGGGAATAGAATTGTCTTTATGTGTATTTGCACAAGCTAATATTTCCTTAACCTTATCTTACAACAGAAAACAGTAGTACAAACTCTTTCGTCTTCTTACCTGTGGTACATTACGATGATCTAACAATTGCCACAGAAACCATCGTTCCTTTTTGGTGCTTCGTCGCACACGGAATATGGCTGTTATGGAATATTCTTCTGGAAGTCCTTTGGGAAATATCTTCCTATGGAGGTAAAAACAAAATCGAAGCTACTGCTATCAATTTATTAAAGATAACATAAGAACACTTTTTAAAAAATAGCTAAAAAAAGACAAATTCAATCATTATATTGAATGGGACACAACTTCTTGGCTATGACTTCTTTATTACTTCTATAACTCAGTACAAAGTGAGATAATTTGTGTAAAGTGCTTTACAAGCCATCAAGTGCAATATAAATGCTAGCTGTTAATAAAACTATTATTAGAATTATAAGATAATTATAATTATGTAATAGCAAAATGGAAGATGCAGCTTTTGTATATTTACAGATATTTTACTACTGAAACGGAAGTGGAGGAGGGGGTAAATTATGTAGTAACTTCTAATAGTGAAGTTCCAGCAATTAATGAAGCTAGTCTGAATTTTAGAGGGGACTAGTAACCACATAAATATAAAGTATTATATTGTCTGTTACTTAAAGCTGAGGATTTATCACATTAAACTTATTTTATCACATTGAATTCCTTTAATTATAAGGCTATTTAAACCTCTAGTAATAATCCCAAAATGTCACTGGAGGTAGCTTCAATTTTTTGACTTGTTTTTATTCCTATAGAAAAGGGAATAAACAAATTCCTTCCATATGACAGTAAAAGCTAATATGATATATTATAGGTATCTATGTTTGTGTCTTAGCTCCCTAATAGGCAGTAAACTTTATGAGGGCAGAGGTCATGTGCTTTCTAAATTTTATCTTTCCTCTAGCACCTTGCACAGTGATACACAAAGCAGAAGCTTAATAAACATTTGATGAATGAATTCATGAATATTGTATTCTGTGCCAGGCCTAGCTCAGGCCATTCCTGTGATTCAGGTTCAGGATTAGAATGTAACAAGGCAGCAGCAGACCATGAAGCAAAATAAAAATAACTTTAATGAGAATAATTAAAATGAATACAATTCCTGAGGTTGAAAAGGGTACTTACTCAAACAAAAGTTTACTGCTCTACCACTTTAGTGCCCTCTCATCAGACCCTGAGTTCCTTGAGGGGCAGGGACTGTCTTTTGCCTCTTGTTGTATCCCCAGAATTTATTAGAATGCCTGGCATATCATTTTATTGTTATTGTTGTTGTTCAATCATTTAGTCATGTCTGATTCTTTGTGACCCTGTGTAGACCATACTGTCCATGAGGTTTTCTTGGCAAAGATATTAGAGTGATTTGCCATTTCCTTCTCCAGTGGATTAAGGCAAACATAGGTTAAATGACTTGCCCAGGGTCATACAACTAGTAGGTGTCTGAGGCTGGATCTGAACTCAGGTCTTCCTGACTCCAAGCCCAGTGCTCTATCCACTGGCAGACAGTAGGCACTTAATAAATGTTTATTGACTATTGACTAACCCCAACCCCCACCTCTCATATTCTAGGGCAATCAGGAATGCTAGAAAGATATCTCAGCAAGGCTATAGGAATTCCACTGAGACTTCTGACACCAAATCCTCAATGGACCTTAGAACTTTTATATGTCAGGCAGCAAGGAAACCAAACTGCCTCCTTTAAAGGACTAGCTCAGCCTATATAAAATAAACTCTGTTCCTACCACAGTGGGTGAAAGAAACACACCCCATGTTTCCTTCCCTCAGTATTATCTACATTTAAAAAGGAAACAAACTTATAAAAAAAAAAACACTTCAAATGTACTATTAATTCAAATGTATCAAGAAAAAACAGCAGAATTCCCCACTCTCATGCCAGCTAAGAAAAATGTAAAGACTGCTGAGCATCACACTGTCTTCATGAACCAGACAGTGGACTTAAAATCAGGTCTTCCTAACTTGGGGAAGGGGAAAGGAGAAAAGAAATAAGCATTTATGTAGTTCATATTATATGTCAGATACTGTACTAAGTACCTTACAAAAACTAGCTCATTTGATCCCCACAATAATCTTGTGATATACGTACTACTATTATCCCCATTTTATAGTTGAGAAAACTGAGGAAGACAAAGGTTAAGTGACTTGCCCAGCAAGTATCTGAGGTTGGATTTGAACTCAGGGCTTCCTGATTCCAGGCTCAGCCTTCTATCATCTGGTTTCCTCAAAGCCACCTCTCACTCCGCAATTCCATGTTACGGGGGAAACTCTAATTTTTTTCTTCAAAATTATGTGTTTTCATGGGTAAAAATAAATGAAATAGAGAAAATCTGAGAGCAAGCATGGAAGTCAAGAACTTGTCTATAGTTCTTAGTAACCTGAAAAACACACAAGCCCATAATTTAGCTACTTCTGATCAAAGTGAATATATAGCAACGGTTAAGTAGCAATTTATTCTTCTGCAAACTCATTATCAGAGACCAACCAGGATGGGCAAGTGGCTGGTAATGACTTGCATTACTACTCCTTTATAAGCTTATGGAAGAACACATGAATGCTTCTAAAATATAATTTCTACTGGAAATGCATACTGCTGATAAGATAAACTTTTATTACTGTTACTATATAATAATATATTTAATCTAGGGAAGGAAGATTTCTTAATATCTCCTAAAAATGACATGACACACAATTCCAAGAAATGTGAATTGCACAGTAATTAAAAATCTAATTCCAGAAACTAAAAGGTATTGTACTTCAAGAATATAGTTTTTCCGTTGCTGAAGAGAAATAATTTAAACTAATATTATGCAAAAAAGGATATTATACAAGACTAATAAATTTCATTGTGCTATCTAATACTTTTGTTGTTCAGTCATTTTTCAGTCATGTCCAACTCTTTGTAACCCCATTTGGGGTTTGCCTGGCAAAGAAACTGGAGTGGTTTGCCACTTCTTTCTCTAGATCTAATACTTAGCCTAGGGTAATTAATGAAGGAAGAAACCCACTATCATCTTCCTTCTCGTGGTTATATAATCTACCTTCAAAAAATGCGTTAGCTAGACTCTTTGCCAGTTTTAGGCAGAAAAAAATTTCTGTGTTATGGAAAGGATCTATTTGCACTATACTTTATGTTTCAGAAAAGAAACTGGAAACCAAGTGAGTGTCCATCAGTAAGGGGAAAGGATCAACAAATTGTGTTATATCAATATAATGGAATATGATTTTGCTGAGAGAAATAATGAAAATAAAGGCTTCAGAGAAACTTGGGAAGATTTTATAAACTGATGTGGAAAGAAATGAGCAGAACCAAATGAACAATTTACATAATGATGACAATAATGTAAAAGAAAAATAACATTGAAAGTCCTTAGAATCCAGTCACAAATCATGACTTCAAAAAACAGATAATGAAGTATCCCTCCCACCTCTTGGCAGAGAGGTAATATACTAGAGCTGTACAGTAAGCATACATTTTGAGGTTTGGCTAATATGTTGATGCATTTTGTTGGACCATATTTGTGGCAAGGAAAGGCTTTGGGCAGGGGAAGGAAAGGTGATATGAATAGTGGGTAGTAACAAAGATACCAAAAAAAATGGAAAGGAGTATCAATAAAGCATTATTTAAAATCAAAGAAGAAAACAAAACAAAAAAAAAACCAAAATCCTGGTGGCAAATGGCAATTTTATTACTACCTTGTTAAACTTAACATACTTTAAAAAAATAAAATGTACATATTATAAGTTCATGTATTCATATATAATCCTGATTTTTTTTGTTCTTTGTGTATCAAAATGTTTCTCTAAAGTTCATAATGATTTTTAAAATTATATTTAAAATAATAAAAATGAATAAAAACATACTTTTAATCTTTAGGGCATAACTCTGGATTCACAACCTCACAAATACTAACAGTAAATGTTTTAATATCATTTCTCTGTGTCATGTAGTAGCTTCCAATATAAAGGCAGCCAACTGAATCATACTTTGGTCAAATACCAGAGATATACAATGACAACACACTATGTCTGAGCTATTTGAGCTTGAATATCTTTGAAAGGGGTGTGGTTTCCTCTAAGATATTCTATCCATTGCTTATTCAGTGACCCTTCCATTGAAAATAAATACTGCTGCTATCACTTGTTGAATCATTCATATAAAACATAGTCAGATTTTTCCTAGTGCAAACATTGAAATAGGATGAGGGAGGGTTAATTCCCTTTTTTTATGTGTCCCATCTGATTCATAAATGAAAATATTAACAATCCATAAAAGCTTTAAAGAATATTTGTAATAGATATTGATACTAAATGCAAACTACAAGCTATGTGGAACAAAAATATTTGAAAATACAGGAACCTAGCAAAGGAGTTTAAAACCATGTGGTAACAAGATAAAGTGCATATCATCCTTGTCCTGCCTACTACTGGAATTATACTGAGAATGCTTTCAGTGAGCTTATAGAGGATCAGTTTACATTCTAATACAGCTAGATGATACAATGGATACAGCACGGGATTTTGAATCAGGAAGACTTGAGTTCAAATGTGGTCCCAGACTCTTAATAGTTGTGTGACCCTGAGCAAGTCACGTAATCTCTCAGCCTCAGTTTTCTCATCTTTAAAATGGGGATAATAATAGTTCCTACCTCACAGATTTGCTGTGAGGGTCAAATGACACAATATGTAAAACACTTCACAAGTTTTAATTTGTCCTTGTTCAGTCATTTGCAGTTGTGTTCAAGTCTTTGTGATACCATTTAGGGTTTTCTTGGCAAAGACGCTGGAGTGATTTATTATTTTCTTCTCCAGTTCATTTTACAGATGAGGAAACTGAGGCAAACAGGGTTAAGTGACTTATCCAGGGCCACGCAGCTAATGAGTGTCAGAGGCTGGATTTGAAATAAGGAAGATGAGTCTTCCTATCTATCTAGATGAACTTTAAAGTGCTATATACTAGCTATTATTATTACTAAAATTTATTATTTATTATTGTTACTAAAATACAAAAAACAATCATTTCATCTGGTTGTACAATAGTCCATATTACGCTAAATATAAAAGAATTATAGTCATTATCCTTGATTCATTCTTTCTCACCTCCACTCTATATAAATAGATGATAAATCCTGTCATTTCTGCCTTCCC